CTGTAGAGATGCAAAACTAGGGGACATTCTCCACTGAGGCCATGCCATTCAACATCGAATCAGCTAGTATCTGCAATACATGGCAGACCAGAGCTCTGGAGGTTTGAACCCCGAGAAATTCTCTAATAGAATTTTTCTCAGCTCCCGACAGTGCACAACCAATGAAGATAGAAGTGGCATGGCCTTGTATTTTAAAAACAGCAGGAAATGTGTGAAATGCTACTTTCCATAGATGCTTGCACAGACCATTTCCTGCTTCATCTTAGCAAGTCTACTGCATATAGTAGAGTCAGCTCAAAAGGGCCAAGTGTCAGAGACAGTGAAGTTATCTACAACAATTCCAGAAAAACAAGGACCATGTCAACAGCTATTAAGGATATGGTCATTTGGGACAAAGTCATTTCAAAATTGTGCTTAAACATATACTGTGACATTTTCAAAATTTTTCATTATTTAATTTTATTTCTTAGTTCATGTTATGAAGGCTGCCTTCAAAGCTTCAGTCCTCTGCAAACTAGAATGTTTATAAAACTATTGTTTTGTTGCACAGAGCTTGGGAACTAGAAGCTTGGGTGGAAATTCAGGGATTGAGTTTGGATCTCAGGCTTATAATAAATCAATGTGGCCCAGGTATTTTACCTTGTATGGTAAAATAGGATTTTCTGCTGTGGATATTGATGAGAATGTTCAATTGGTTGATGACTTCTCAAATAATTTTAAATGCCACTTTCTTTTTAATTGGTAACACAGCAGGCGCTACCACACCCACATCAAGAGGTAAAGAAAGAAGCACACCTGGAGAACACAGCTCTAGAGTTACCAGTTCAGAAGTGTCAGGTAGGCCAGGGGTTGCACATCTATGCCTATAATGGGGCAAGTGTGACAGTGAGATAGGGGATATGATGAATGTGCACAAATACAATTGTGCCCACATTTCCTAATAGGCCATACAGAAATAAGAATATGTTGAAACACCACTACCTAGTTAGTCAGGGCCTAAGGTAGGGTAGGTAGGGACTTCAGGTCATGCATGTGAGCACAGTAGGACTAAGAGTGTGAGCACAGCAGGACTATGAGTGTGAGCACAGCAGGACTATGAGTGTGAGCACAGCCGACCATGAGTGTGAGTATACAAGACCATGAGCATCAGCCTGGCAGGATTTGACTGTGAGTACAGCTGGACCAGGAGTGTAAAAACAGCAGAGGGTTAACCTCTGCCGCCCATGTAAGCACAACATAGTGTCCCCCAACGTGGATCCAGGTCAGCTGTCTCCAGGATTTAGAATGGGATGAGGGTGAGGACAGGAGATCAGGGACAACTTTAAAGGAACTAAGGCTATGAAGGAGTGATGGAATACCCTGGCGATGGTTTTCTTTACTGTTCAATTCAGAAAGCTCCTTTTATCCCACAGCCACAAGTGGAAGAACAGGTGCACCAACTTCTAGAGCCACTGCAGGAAGCACATCTGGAAGAACAGGTAAGGAGGGGTAGGGGGAGGTAATAGGCAAGCACGAGGCCTGGGAGCTTAGTGTCCAGATTCATCAACAACAAAAGGTTCCCTGGGGATTTGTCACATTGTTTCCATTGTGAGGCCAAGTGCCCCACAGATTAGAAAGGTAATAAAGTCATTTGTTGCATTCTGAGCAGTCTAGGGAATCTATGAAGCATAACAGGTTGATGCCAATTGCCTCAGAGATGAGAAATAGATTAAGTCTATAGGTTGTATTCCTAATACTCTATATGGTACTGTGTGGAATACAGGAATATATGAAGTGGGTGTTTATCTCCCAACTCTGCTTCCATTTGGAAAAGGAAGATATTGCATTCACATAATTGGTGACCCCCCAACTTGTCATCCAAGAGCCTTCATCTAGTAACTGATGGAAACACATGCAGAGAACCACTGAGAAGCATTTGGGCTGAGCTCAAGGAGTCCTGCTGAAGAGAGGGAGGAAGGAATGGAGAAGCCAGTGGGGGGCGGGGTGTCAAAGACATCACAAGGGAACTCACACAAACAACTAACCTGGCTCATACGAACTCACAGATTCTGAACCAGCAATCAGAACCTGCATGGGACTGACCTAGGCCTCTACATATATGTGACAGTTGTATAGCTAGCTTGGTTTACTTATGGGACTCCTAATAGTGGGAACAGGGACTGTTCCTAATGCTTTTGCTGGCTTTTGGTAACCTATTCCTCATACTAGGTTGCCTTGCCCAACCTTAATAGAAGGGGAGGTGCTTAGTACTACTGCAACTTGATATGCCAAGCTTTGTTGATACCCATGGGAGGCCTGCTCTTTCTGGGGAGAAGCAGAGAAGAGCGGACTGGGGAGTGGAGGGGAAGTGGGGGCAGAGACTGGGAAGAGAGGAGGGAGGGGAAACTGAACAGATTGTATAATTTAAAAAAAGATATGGACATAAAATAACTAGCCAGACAGAAAGGATTTTGGGGGCTGTGTCAATGGTATTGTAAGCATGAGGAAACATAAGATCAGTCAATGGTGAATATTGAGAAATAGACATGATTGATGTTTCTTAAAGTATGAAAACATTAATCAGAATGGTCTGATTTAACAGGATTGGGACTCTCACTCCACAGTTAAGAATTTTTGTATATAAGTGATTTTTCAGAAAAAAAGCAAACAGGCTTAATAATCCTTTTTGAAAGTTTATAAATTCACAGAATCTCAGTCTAATGTTTGTCCCCGTTATCAACATAAGGCTCATCTGGGCCATTATCTGGATCTAGCCCTGATACAACAAGTGTTAGCACCCCTGGAGAAGCAAGCACTGGAGCCACAGGTTCAGGTGGGAGACAATAGGCTGGGGTGATGATCCAGCAACTGCTGCCCAGGCTCTGATGAAGGGGAAGTTCCCTTGACCTCCTGGCGTTTAACTGAATGATACTGTGGTGCTGAGAAGTGCTTGGGGAATCATAAATTTCCATTTTCATTTCCTGAACTCCTAAAATATTCCAAGAAAAACAATCAGGTCCTCAACTTCCAATTTACTCTTGGTTTCTAGGAACCATAAACACTTCTGGAGTCTCCACCACTGTGAGACCTGACACATCGACTAGACCAGTCAGGACTTCTGCTACAAGCAGTGCAGGTAAAGGATAGAGAGATGTCTGACTTGGATATATGTGTGGAGCCCATTTTCTGGACATGGTTATTGGTGCACAATAGAAAGGAGTAGTAGGAAGCTGATGCTATAAGGGCTACTGCATGAAAAGCTATAAAGAAAAATGTGGGATAGATAATATTTCTCTAATCAGCTTGAGTGTTAACATGGCCACAGTGTTTTGAGAACCCCTTATACCTTGTAAGGCTTTGGATATTGAGTGGGAATGTGACTTTTAATGGAGCTTAGATAGGAGAATCACTAGTGATATTTTTGTAATATCAATGGAGAGACTTTCAGACTCATTGACATTCAAACTGTGTGGGAAACAATTTTAAAAGCATCAATAATTTCCACTGTGCAACCTCATTTCAGAAGCACTGAGCTCACCTTAGGGACATCAAATAAATAAATAAATGGCAAGCTAAAATGCATCCAGTAAACATTGGATCCTGCACAATTATTCTAGAACCTGTACATATTTTATGACTAAATGTTGGAAGTGCTGAATTAGAAGGGAAGATGTGACAAGACACATTTGGGAGAAATGTGAAATCAGGGAGCAGATTTGGCGTGATGTGGTTTATCAGGGGTCCTAATATCCACTTCCTGTTTACTCTGAAAGGGACCACTGCACCATCAGCTGGTGAAACAACTAGAGCCTCTAGCAGTCAATCAACCCAGCCTGGAGAACAATCAGGTGAGCAGGTAGTATTCAGAAGTGTGGAGTCATCACCCTGTTTCTCACTTAAAGCACAGAATTGGCATCAAACGCATGGATATCTGGTTGACCCAACCCCAGTTTTTAACTGTGTCTATGTAAAACAGTGCCAGAAGAGAAAACTAGCATATTTGAGACTATCATAACAGAATAAAACATTCGTCTATTATATTTTCTTGAGGACAAAAAACAAAAAAAAGCTTAATCCTCCATTGGTAATCAAGTCCACCTAAACTTTAAATGAGTATTCCCTTTGATGTGTTCTGGGGCTCTATTGAAACCTCAGCTCCCATGAGCTCCTCAGTTGAAGGTGCAGGAACAAAAGCAAACCTGACCCCCAAGTTCAAAAGTCCTGGGCTCACAGAAGTCAAACTCAGTTGTGAATGAGAATCCTGGCCCAAGCCTGTTATACAAGAACACCAAGAAGATATTTCTTTTCCAAAATACAATACCATGCTTAGTTATTCCTTATGTTTAATTGAATCATAGTATCTTTAATCTTTCATAATTGCTTTAACCTATCATGTTACAATTTTATGTTCCTCCTTTCTTAAGCAGATACTTAGGCTGCTAATTATTTTTTCTGTATCATATCAGCCACAACTCTGGAGTCTTCTAGTGTAACCACAACAACAGTCAAAGGGCAAGGACATGGCAATGACACAGCATTCAGAGACGGTAAGACCACATAATCAGTCACTAGGAATAGTGTAAAAATACATTAATAAAATAACCATATAGTTATTGGACAGCTCAGAGTTTCCCTATTAGCCTCACACATCTACCTCATAAGTTAGTAAACATTAATGACTAGATGATGACATTTCTGTGAGTTGAGATATTATTAAATGTACAAGATGCAAAACCAGCATTAGATCTCCCTCATTCTGTCATTTGTAGGTCAAAGCTGAAACCAATAAAGGATAAAGAAAAGGTGCTTGTCCTTGTGAATCTAGGATATTGAGAGTCAGGAATTAAAACATATGATATAGAGACTTTAATAAGATAATTTGTTGACAAATAGAATTTATTGAGTGCCTTAATTAGGATTACTATAGCTATCATGAAACCCCATGGCCAAGGCAATTTATAAAATGAAACTTTAGTTGAGGCCTTGCTTACAGTTTCAGAGTGTTAGTATTTGACCATCATGGCAGGGCATATGGAAGCAGGCATGCAGTCATAGTGCTGAATCGATAGTTAAGACCATATGCCCTGCTTTTTAGGCAGAAGATCTTTTAGGGAAAGATGAAGACTGGGCCTGGATTAGGCATTTGAAACCTAAAAGCCCAACACAACCCAGTGGCACACCTCCTCTCAGAAGGTCACACCTCCTTCAACAAAGCCAGATTTCCAGTCAAGGTCGTCACATATCCTCCAACAAGGCCATACCTCCTAATCCTGTCAAAGCAGCTAACTGGGGAACAGGCATTCAAATATACAAGCATCTGGGGACCATTTGCATTCAAACTATCACACATATGAACACAGTTCAAATGACTAAGTAATCCAGCATCCTTTAAAAGTTGTATTTCTTTTCTTTCTTTCTTTCTTTTTTCCTGGAACTCACTCTGTAGACCAGATTGGCCTTGAACTCACAGAGATCCACCTGTCTCTGCCTCCTGAATGCTAGACTTAAAGGCATGCCCCACCAGGCCTGGCAACTGATTGTGATTTCAAAAATGATACCCAGGAACCCACATTTCCTAAAGTTTGAATCAGGTTACTGGGGCCTTATGAAAAGCTCAATCACTTGTGCACTTTGTTTATCAGGCACTGTCAGTAGTGATGAGAGAAAGATGCTAAATTGGGTGCTTCTTACAGGAGTGATATACTAAGGCCTGAAACTGAGCTCATTCTCTTGGGAAAACATCCAACTGACACAGTGGAGTAGTATTTCTCTGTTGAAAAAGGCTTAGGTTATTATTAATTTTCTTTAATTTTTTTCTTTTCTATTTGCATTAGCCATAATTTTAAAACATGAATCTATCACAGTTGAGATTGTGTTATTAGTCATTGGCTCATGTGTTTAAGGAGTGCGGCTAGATCTAGATGCTTGAGTTAAATCTGTGAATGCATTCTTAACTAATTCACTAACCTGACTTATGTCCTTGCAATAATTCAAACATATTGAGAAACAATAAGTGCATTTAGAGGAGATCTAAACAATATCAATATTTTATTTGTTCTAGGGAAATTTTAATTGCTATTTTCTCATTAGTAGGTGAAGGCGGTCCCACTATGCCCATGCCTGCTCAAGGAGAAGCCAGTACACCCGGGGAGCAAGACTCTGCAGCTACCACTCTAGGAACCTTGGGTAATTCCAAACATGCACTGGGATGTCTTAAATATGTCCAATCGGGAAAACATGAAGGCTGTTGTGAACTTGGTGGAAAGTCAGGCCATGAAAGTTTGATTACATTTCCCAGAATCCCTTTCAAAGCAGCAACACATTAGAATCTCTGCTCTTGTTTGTCAGGTTCAACAGGGCCATCTTCAGGAACCAGCTCAGGAGCAGGCAATGGAAACTCACTTAGAACACCAGGCACAGGGACCTCCAGCTCTGTTACAACACCAGGTTAGGCGAGGTGTTGGTTGGTTCTTTCCCTGCTCTGCTACCCCTTCAACTCTCCACCCCTTTTTCTCTATGTACCCCTTTGCTACTTTATTCCATTTTCTTCCCCTTTCCTAAGACCACTTTTTTTCTTGTCTCATGGACCATTTTCTTGTTCTTGGCCTTTTTTCACATTTCCTACTATCTAGATACATTTATTTCCCAGCTGGAGGTTAGAATCCACATATGGGAGGAGCATGTTTGTCCTTCTGAGTCTAAGTTACTTCACTTTATAACCTTTCCTTTCATCCATGTTCTTCTGGCATATTTCATAATCCTTTGTACCATATTTTTATTATCAGTTTCTCTGTTGACAGTTATCTAGGCTGATTCTATTCCCTTGCTACTGTAAAAAGAGCAGCATTACATGGATATACAGATGCCACTGCAGTAGGATATACAGTCCTTTGGGTATCTTCCCAGAGCTCAATTTTAGATAAGGGGTGTTGTTAATTGAAGTTAAAATATAGTAGATTTATTCTATTTTGAGAAGACCATATTACCAGTGTATGACGATGCTGGTCAATACACCTTAAGTAATGTCTCAGCACACAGGAAAGCACCATATAGTTTTTGGGCTGTGGCCAATTTCAGAGACCCCAAGGGCATAAATGTTTTAGGTGTTAGGAAAGCAGAAGTGAAAATAGTCTCTAAACTTAGAATCTTTATGCAAAGTGGAAAACAATAAAAATGGGCCTATTGATAAATATTAAAGCAGGATGAGATGCACAACAGCCTACTAAAGGACCGAGCAACCATGTTCCCAGTATAATCAATAAAAGCCCTCATGTGGGAGATATTAGCAGCATCATTCTTTTAAAAACAGGACATACTAAGTTCTCCTCTGGAAAGAATGTGTGTGGATGCAGTGTTCATTAATGAATCTAGGGAGGATTTTTCTTATCCCATCTCTTAAATGTCATATCTATCTATCTATCTATCTATCTATCTTTTTCTCTCTCTCTTTCTCTCTCTCTCTCTGTTTCAATGTCTAATTAGCTGCCTTAATATTTCCTTACACTGGAAATACTTCTACCAAAAGTACAAAGGAATATAATGACAAGATCTGCTTGATCCTCAATGTGTACCTGTGCTCACAGAACAGCAACACAAAGGTTCAAGGCACAAATGGGGTTTTGTTTCATGAAAGGTGGGACATAGGTAAATACATAAACTAGAATACACAGGTAATTCTATCAGTCACAAAGAGGGACACATAGTTTGTACATGGAGGACATTAGACAGGACAGAAAAGATTTCAGTGCCTGGAAAGGAGCCCCACTCCAGGAAACAGTACTGAGATTCTTCACAGTAGAGGTGAGATGCCAGAAAGTGCATCAAAAGAGAGACAGATGGGGAGGCCTGCCACCCAAACATTGCAGATACTGTTATTTTCATTTTTTTAGACAATGTCTTATATACATAACAATAATTAAATGAAAAAAAGAAATCATGAATTTGAAAGAGCAGGGAGGGTTATGTGGGCGCATTTGAAGGGAGAAAAAGGAAGAGAGAAATTATGTAATTATGATATCAAAAATAAAAGAAAAATATGCAGATATATGACAGACAAATTAAAAAGATGAAAATTAGATAAACATTGCTAGGTAACAGGCAGGAGGTGGTCAGATGAGTCATTAGGGTTTCATGAATGAAATAAATGAGAGGTAACATTGCTGAGAGAGAAAAATGAACCATTAAGAAGAAGATGCTTGATAATTTTTATTAATTGATTGAAGGCATTCTCAAGATTAGGAAACACAGTGATAAAATTCATAACAGAAATTGGTCTGAGAGAAATAGAAACAAGAGTTTTCCCCAGAGAGGCCAAAAAGACATTGGGTTACCACTGTCTCACAAAGGAAGAATACCAATGATAGACAGAATGAATGAGTTTTTCCTTAAAATTATGTAGAGTCCTCAGCCATCAACTCAATATCTTAGTTCAGAATCACCAGGCACATTCTCTGAATGCAGGCAGGGAGATGACAATGGCAGGCACTGGCACACAACCATTCAACAATTTTACAGTTAATAATGAAGTGGAAGAGGTAGGAATTGGAAGCAGGGATGAAATAGAAGATCAAATTCATGCACCCCCCAAATGTAAATTCAAACCAGACTGAAATGGCACTTCTCACTTTTTGGATTGGCAGAAATCCAAATGTTTGACAACAGCACTGTTGACAGGTTGGGAAAGAAACAGGTGGCACTTCGTGCCTGGCAGGTGGGCACTCACCATGACACACCCCACGGAGGCCAGCCAGACAAAGGGAACAAACCTCCAGTCATTTACCCTTCGGCCCAGAAGGCCTGCATTAGTGCTCTGTGGTGCAGTACAAGGTATCATACCCATACACTGCTCATGCTGGTGCTGGTTTTGTTTTTGTTTTTTTTTTTTTAAACAGAAGCAGATCAGAAACAAAGCTTGTCTTCAGAGAAAAAGACTGGAGGGGGGTAAATCTGCTGCAAAATTGCACCATTGCCACCATGACAAAGGAAGGAGGAGGCACTAATATATAATCTGTTTCCAAATCTGATCAGGAAAAGGCAGAAGCATAACTTACATGTACTCTACAGCCTTATTTTAAAAAGAGGGGTGGGTGTGTATATGTGCATATGTTGTTCAAGGGTTGGTATTATAGCCTCCTGTGTGCAAATGTGCATACAGAAACCAGAAGATGAAGGAAAGAGAATAGGAGGCTCTGAATTCTCTCAGTGGTCTATTAAGTTGCTTGTCATGACAACTTATTCCTTTATCCCTTTCTTAGTTGTCCCACAAATTGTAATTGTACATGAGACTTTTGCAGCACAAACTCAAGCCTTTCAGTGTTTAAAAATATCCTTGGAGTATCTAGTAAGAATTTGCATTTTAATAGACTTAACTAGTGACTCTTAGACACATTAGGAATTAAGGCTAATTGTTTATGATTAAGATTTATTACCATACACCATTCTGGAGCACAGAATATAGTCAGGACTATGCTGAAGAATACTGACCTAATGGTTAGGCGAAGAAGAACTGCAATACTTCAGTTAAAATGAAAATAGTGTGGCAAAACTGGTCACAGGAATGTCTGGAGTCCACAGCTTATTTTAGTTGAGCATAATTATACTTTAATCTTCTCTCTCTTCTTTGAGCAGGGACAATGGGAGTCTCAGTCAAATCAAGTGTAGCAACAGGAAGAACCACCAGCCTGCCAGGCAGTGAGTAGTGTGCCTTGGGATTCAGGAAAGGGCCAGATAATCACAGCAGTCTATCCATTCTGATCAGTTGTATTGATGACAAGCAAAGAATGCAAGTGTTTGGAAAAGGACAGTACACAATGGGAACAGAAAAGAGGATTTAGTAATTGCCTTCATTTCCCAGAAACTGTAGAAGTTGATTTAATCACAGCTGCTTTGAATGTTGTTCAAGTGGGACAGATCAGTCTGTGAAATCTACCAAGGGACATGACAGTACAGGTAGAGCTTTTGTAACTGAGGCCACCAGGTCAGGACACCCAACTGCATATCAAGCTGTCCCAACAATGGCCAACCTAAAGAAAGACATCAGGTATTCACAAGTCTAAGAGTGCAAGTACTTCAGCTTTGGTGAAGCTACAATTGAAGCATTTTTTATATTTAAAATCTTGCCTACCTGTTGGAAATTAGAGATCTTAGATCAAAATTTGATGTAGCAAAGACTTTGCAAATAATTCAATTATAAATTACCCAAATAACCAACTGATTTTTGGAAACAATACAATTATAGAGAAATTCCTATTATAATAATAATTGAAGAAATATGGAAGAAGAAATATATAAGCCACACAAGGGTTATTGTTACCTTTTACTAAGCAGTGCTTACATGATATAGCATTTTGCTTCTAGACCTAAAGAAACAGGTTAAAAAATAAATGAATTGATTGGTTAATATTTTTGAGAGATGAGAAAAAACTTTCTAAAAAATGTAACTAATAGACTAGCATCCACTTACCTTGATTTTTACTAGATATATTGAATAGAAGTTAATTGACAGAATAAAAGCATAAAAGTAGTTAGCTTTTGGAAAAAGCATTAGTGAATCATTTAAATCCAATTAACAAAAATGATAATTATAATGTGATTACAAAGTATAAAATGCAAACATTTTCCAACATACAAAATGGCTTGAATCTTCTATCCCATAAAATTTTAGCTATATTACTAGCTATTATATTTAATGTGTATAAAATAAGAGTACTTACTTGCAAAACAGAATAATTGTGGTAGTGGTCCAGGAAGGATGAGGCTTGAATCCTCACCAACAAGACACAAGTATTGTAGATATCTGTCAAAACTATAGAAAAATAATTTATCCTCTGGCTACCTTTCTGCCTTCCTTTCTCTCTTCTTTCTTTCCTTCCTTTCTTCCTTCCTTCCTTCTTTCCTTTCTCTCCCTCCTTCCCCCATAACCCTCTCTCTCTTTTCTTATGATAGTGTTTCCAAAACCTAGATTAGTTTCTAATTTAGGTACTTGAATGCCTGGTAGACCTGCAGTGATAAGGTAAAAAAAAAAAAATGAATATAGACTTCCAATTAGCTAAGGGACAACAGCTTTATTCTGAGATGTGAAACAAAATAACACACTATGAGAAATTAAGAAACACTTGTTGAAGGACTATCAATGTTGGTAAGGAGTGGGATACTTTCTATTATATTCAATAGAATTCTACTAAAAACGTCTTCAAGTCTATGCACTGTAGTATATGAATTACTGTTTTGGAAAATGCCAAGTCTCTGTAATTCTCTTCTCCTTTAGTGAATGTCACATCTGGAGAATCAACTAAAGTGAAAGAGACATCCACAACTTCTGTAGGGACAACATTTCAATCTACTGTAGTGTCAGACCAAATTACACTATCCACAGGCCCTACAATGACAACTGGACATTCATCAACTCATGGAATACAAACAAATACAGAAATTGCTAGGGGAACAGGAACAACTATTTTGTCAACTGGAGTTACTGAGAGAACTTCACAGTCCATTGGACAATCAGAAATTACTGGCTCCTCAACTAACACAGCAGAAACAACTAAGGAATCTGTAACTGGCTCAGAGTCAACTGGCACACCAACTAGAGGAACAGAGGCAGATACTACCTCAGCTGGAGAAGCAATACAAACTACACCAACACCTAGAGTGACTGTGACATCTCGACAAACATCTGGTACCACAACAGAAAGCACTCCGTCAGTTTCAGTGTCAGAAAGTACAGTAACAACTGGTAAACTGACTGTGACATCTGGGCAAGCACCTGAAGTGAAGGAGACATCCACACCTTCAATAGGGAACACAATCGGATCGACTGTAGTTTCACAAGAAACTACAATTTCCTCTGGCCCTACAGCCACAATTGGACAGTCATCAACACATGGACTACAAACAAGTACAGAAACTGTCAGAGGAACAGGAACAACTCTTGTGTCAACTATAGTTACAGAGAGAACTTCACAATCCCTTGGACAATCAGAAACTACTACATCTCCAACTAAAGCACCAGAAACAACTAAGGAACCTGTAACTGGCACAAGGATAACTGACACACCAACTAGAGGAACAGAGGCAGATACTACCTCAGCCGGAGAAGCAATAGAAACTACATCAACACCTAGAGTGGCTGTAACATCTGGACAAACATCTGGTACCACAGCAGCAACCACTCCATCAGTTTCAGTGTCAGGAAGTACCGTAACAACAGGAAAATTGACTGTGACATCTGGCCAGACCACTAGGGTGAATTCCACATCTGGACAATCACCAGAAGTCAAGGAGACATCAACACATTCTGTAGGGAACACATTGAGATCTACTGTAGTTTCACACCAAACTACAATTTCCTCTGGCCCTACAACCATAACTGGACTGTCATCAACTCATGGACTACGAACAAGTACAGAAACTTCTAGGGGAATAGGAACAACTGTTGTCTCAACTGTAGTTACCAAGAGAACTTCACAATCCTTTGGACAATCAGAAACTACTACATCCCGAACTAAAGAATCAGAAACAACTAAGGTATCTGTAACTGGCTCACAGTCAACTGGCACACCAACTAGAGGAACAAAGACAGATACTACCTCGGCTGGAGAAGCAATAGAAACTGCAACAACACCAAGAGTGGCTGTGACATCTGGACAAACATCTGGTACCACTGCAGCAACCACTCCATCAATTTCAGTGTCAGGAAGTACAGTAACAACTAGTAAATTGACTGTGACATCTGGTCAAGAACCTGAAGTGAAGGAGACATCCACACCTTCTGTAGGAAACACAGTGAGAACTACTGTAATTTCACACCAAACTACAATTTCCTCTGGCCCTACAACCATAACTGGACTGTCATCAACTCATGGACTACAAACAAGTACAGAAACTGCTAGGGGAACAGGAACAACTGTTGTGTCAACCATAGTTACAGAGAGAACTTCACAATCCCTTGGACAATCAGAAACTACTACATCCCCAACTAAAGCATCAGAAACAACTAAGGTATCTGTAACTGGCTCACAGTCAACTGGCACACCAACTAGAGGAACAGAAACAGATACTACCTCAGCTGGAGAAGCAATAGAAACTGCAACAACACCAAGAGTGACTGTGACATCTGGACAAACATCTGCTACCACAGCAGCAACCACTACATCAGTTTCAGTGTCAGAAAGCACCATAACAACAGGAAAATTGACTGTGACATCTGGGCAAGCCCCTGAAGTGAAGGAGACATCCACACCTTCAGTAGGGAACACAGTGGGATCGACTGTAGTTGCAGACCAAACTACAATTTCTTCTGGCCCTACAACCACAATTGGACAGTCATCAACTCATGGTCTACAAACAAGTACAGAAACTGCTAGGGGAACAGGAACAACTGTTGTGTCAACTATAGTTACAGAGAGAACTTCACAATCCCTTGGACAATCAGAAACTACAACATCCCCAACTAAATCACCAGAAACAACTAAGGAATCTGTAACTGGCTCACAGTCAACTGGCACACCAACTAGAGGAACAGAGGCAGATACTACCTCAGCTGGAGAAGCAATAGAAACTGCAACAACACCAAGAGTGACTGTGACATCTGGACAAACATCTGGTACCACATCAGCAACCACTCCATCAGGTTCAGTGTCAGAAAGCACCATAACAACAGGAAAATTGACTGTGACATCTGGACAAACATCTGGTACCACATCAGCAACCACTCCATCAGGTTCAGTGTCAGAAAGCACCATAACAACAGGAAAATTGACTGTGACATCTGGTCAAGAACATGAAGTGAAGGAGACATCCACATCTTCAGTAGGGAACACAGTGGGATCGACTGTAGCTACAGACCAAACTACAATTTCCTCTGGCCCTACAACCACAATTGGACAGTCATCAACTCATGGTCTACAAACAAGTACAGAAACTGCTAGGGGAACAGGAACAACTGTTGTGTCAACTATAGTTACAGAGAGAACTTCACAATCCCTTGGACAATCAGAAACTACAACATCCCCAACTAAATCACCAGAAACAACTAAGGAATCTGTAACTGGCTCACAGTCAACTGGCACACCAACTAGAGGAACAGAGGCAGATACTACCTCAGCTGGAGAAGCAATAGAAACTACAACAACACCAAGAGTGACTGTGACATCTGGACAAACATCTGGTACCACATCAGCAACCACTCCATCAGGTTCAGTGTCAGAAAGCACCATAACAACAGGAAAATTGACTGTGACATCTGGTCAAGAACATGAAGTGAAGGAGACATCCACATCTTCAGTAGGGAACACAGTGGGATCGACTGTAGTTGCAGACCAAACTACAATTTCCTCTGGCCCTACAACCACAACTGGACAGTCATCAACACATGGACTTCAAACAGGTACAGAAACTGCTAGGGGAACAGGAACAACTCGTGTGTCAACTATAGTTACAGAGAGAACTTCACAATCCCTTGGACAATCAGAAACTACTACATCCCCAACTAAAGCACCAGAAACAACTACGGTATCTGTAACTGGCTCACAGTCAACTGGCACACCAACTAGAGGAACAGAAACAGATACTACCTCAGCTGAAGAAGCAGTAGAAACTACACCAACACCTAGAGTGTCTGTGACATCTGGACAAACATCTGGTACCACTGCAGCAACCACTCCATCAGTTTCAGTGTCAGGAAGTACAGTAACAACTGGTAAATTGACTGTGACATCAGGCCAGACCACTAGGGTGAATTCCACATCTGTGCAAGCACCTGAAGTGAAGGAAACATCTACACCTTCGGTAAGGAACACAGTGGGATCGACTGTAGTTGCAGACCAAACTACAATTTCCTCTGGCCCTAGTATCTGTAACTGGCTCACAGTCAACTGGCATACCAACTAGAGGAACAGAAACAGATACTACCTCAGCTGGAGAAGCAATACAAACTACACCAACACCTGTAGTGGCTGTGACATCTGGACAAACATCGGCTACCACAGCAGCAACCACTCCATCAGTTTCAGTGTCAGGAAGTACTGTAACAATAGGAAAATTGACTGTGACATCTGGCCAGACCACTAGGGTGAATTCCACATCTGGCCAATAACCAGAAGTGAAGGAGACATCCACACCTTCAGTAGGGAACACAGTGGGATCCACTGTAGTTTCACACCAAACTACAATTTCCTCTGGCCCTAGTATCTGTAACTGGCTCACAGTCAACTGGCATACCAACTAGAGGAACAGAAACAGATACTACCTCAGCTGGAGAAGCAATACAAACTACACCAACACCTGTAGTGGCTGTGACATCTGGACAAACATCGGCTACCACAGCAGCAACCACTCCATCAGTTTCAGTGTCAGGAAGTACTGTAACAATAGGAAAATTGACTGTGACATCTGGCCAGACCACTAGGGTGAATTCCACATCTGGCCAATAACCAGAAGTGAAGGAGACATCCACACCTTCAGTAGGGAACACAGTGGGATCCACTGTAGTTTCACACCAAACTACAATTTCCTCTGGCCCTACAACCACAACTGGACAGTCATCAATAGAAACTGCAACAACACCAAGAGTGACTGTGACATCTGGCCAGACCACTAGGGTGAATTCCACATCTGTGCAAGCACCTGAAGTGAAGGAGACATCCACACCTTCAGTAGGGAACACAGTGGGATCCACTGTAGTTTCACACCAAACTACAATTTCCCCTACAATGACAACTGGGCAGTCATCAACACATGGACTACAAACAAGTACAGAAACTGCTAGGGGAACAGGGACAACTGTTGTGACAACCATAGTTACCAAGAGAACTTCACAATCCCTTGGACAATCAGAAACTACTACATCCCCAATTAAAGCACCAGAAACAACTAAGGTATCAGTAATTGACACAAGTAAACCTGGGTTGTCAACAGGAGTAACCTTACGAAATGTTTCATCCATTGGAGAATCAGCTACTACTGTTTCCTCAGCTAAAGTGGTATTAACTACTAGGGTAACAGTTACTGGCTCAGGAACTGTCAATTCATCAACTGCATTTACAGAGACAACTGCATCTTATGATAGAAAATCATTTTCAACTGGATCAGTAGCTGGAGTGTCCATTTCATCTGGACCAACACCTGCAGCTACTGGTGTTTCTAGATCTCCATCTGTAGGTTCACCTTCTATAAGTACAATTAGTGATTTGACTTCAACATTGAAACCGTCACCTGGAGTCACTGTACCATTTGAGATTTCACCTGGAAGCACAGTGCTATCCAGTTCATTCACTGAAGTTCCCGGAAGAACTGTTCCAGCTGATGAAGGAACTACAAGCAGAAGAAATAATACTGGAGTAGCAGGAACTGAGTCTACAACAAGTAAAGGCAAGTGTGATTAACTCAATGTAAATTTTGCATGTGGTAAGGCCATGCTTGCTCTCATTTCCTTTAGGGAATTGTAAAATCTTACAGTAATTAAATAAGACATTAAGTCCTGAAATTGGTGAATACTCCTGTTTACCAAATCACCCTTGTTCTAATGTGAATTTTCAGCTGTTGTGAGAAATTTCTTATCGTTCTCATACAAAAATAACCAATCCTGGTACAGGATAATTATGGAGGCAGTTGCATGGGATCCCTAGGCTTTTATCAGTACTGCTGATAACAAAGCTATCAAGGCTCACCTGTGTGCTGTGCTGGTGATTCTTCATAAGCATCTCTATTATCCAACCTGTGATAAAATGGAGTAATATAACTAAGGACCTGAGTTCTAGGAAAAATTATTAGAGATGATCCATTTTATCAACGTGTAGATTTGGGGATACATTATAGATGTTCACTGCTTTTACTATAACCACATATGATATTACTTTTTTTACCATATATGATAACCATAGATCCACAACTCTTACAGGTTATGGCATGACCAGATTGACCACACCTGAGAAGTCAGGCAAGGGCGAGAGGAAATGACTTAGAGTGTCGCTTAGCATAAGGTGGTCTGCTAGATCTAGTAACTAATAGTCATGGGATGATTTATATAATTAAAGAGCAGGTCAGAATTGTCTGGTATTTTGAATTTTATATCTTGTTAGGTGATGTAGGGCTTTCCTGGAAGAATGTGCAACTGTCTTCACAGAGCTTAATTGATAAATAAATTTTGTAACAAAGCAGTGGAATCAGAGCTGTGTACTATGGGACAAGATGACTTTAATCAGGGTTGTGTCACATGTATCAATTTTCGGAGCAACCAATGTTTTCAAAACGTATGTTTTAACCTTTTCTAACAAGGACACCAAGGAGAATTTCAGTTAGCAGGGTAGTTGAGGCATCACACTTAGGAAACTGGGTAGCAGATTGGTGTGCCACTTTCCAGCATCACTCTCCCTCCTGTGGTAATGGCTATAAACTGGGCAGAAAGGGTGTTATCCTTAAAAGGAATGCCATTGAGGTCTCAGCTGTTAGAAATTTAACTAAAAACAAACAACCCTCCCCCAAACAGCAACATAAAAACTGAGCTACTGCAGAAGCTGCCACACTACACCTATAGATAAGGACAAAATTTAAACTACTCTATACCAGAAGTTTCTCTAATTTTGTTACATTTGATTCATTTTTGTTGTCTGTGAGCTATGTGCCATGTGCTATAAGAACTGTATGAGAAAAGATTTAAACATTTTGGGAAAGGTTACTAGGTAATAAGACAACGAACACTACAATAACATTAATGCGACAGCTATACAAAGAGGTAAAAGGTGAGCACATTAAAGATACATCTCCCCTTGTGACTAAAAGTCACAGTTCAAACCTGAGTCAGGGAAACAAGAGACCAGCAAGTCCAGGCGACAATTGCCCACATTATTAGAATTTGTTGCACTTGTTTTAATTTTGGCTAGCCCAGTAGTGCCTGTTGGGATCCATTGGAGTGCCAGGTGGAAATGGTGCTGTCACATAAAATCTGAGCACAGGAGTGACACCCTCCCAGATCACTGTTCCCTCAAAATCAGGTCACTACTCCTGGCTCTCTATTTAATTTCACACATCCCTAACCCAGCATTTGCAACAGGAAAACCACTGTGAACATGGTTGTCTGGTGGATTTTTGGCACATTTTTATACTGAGCAATCAGGAATGTAATTATTTGTTTAAAGATATCATCTCATCTAATTGTGGGGACATTTATTATTTTCTCGTGCTGCTTATGAAAATCATAGCCAAAGGCATTATCTAACTTGGTGTCAGTTTTGCAGCAAGTCGAGTGGTGGAACTGCTGTGTTTCCCTCCCTCTACCAACTCCAAAGTCTCTGCTTTTCATTGTGATACCATCCTCTTTAAAGCAAATTGCACCATGTTCTTTAATAATCCAGCAGGAAAACTTGCTTTTGAAGCAGTGGTTAATTTCTCATTGCCTTTATCACCCCAAGTTCACAAGGACTTCTGTCCATGGTTCTCAACCTATGGGTTGTGACCCCTTTGACAAACCTCCATCTCCAATTTACATTGTGATTCATAACAGTAGCAACATTAGAGTTATGAAGTAGCAATGAAAATGAATTTATGGTTAGAGGTCACCATAACACAGGAATTGTATTAAATGGTCACAGCATTAGGAAGTTTGGAAACCACTGTGTTAGTTGATCATGAATCTAAACTAATGACCAATATATGATATGAGAGGAAATTTCCTACCCACATTCAAAGCAAATGGCATTATGGTTGAGAACTGTCTCAGGAGACTTGATTTAGAATCATTGTATGGGACAGCTTCTACCATGGCAGGTCTCAGTGGTGGCTTCATAGAGGTTGGATTCCTGTTTGAATCAATGGCTAGACACATAATTGAACTCATGAGCACAATTATGTTCTTGTTTTAGGGACCACTGGTGCAGTCTCCAGGAAAACTGAAGAACCAGTGAGGTCTACTACAGGTAGTTATGGAAATACACTTCAAATGTGGACATTATATTTTTATAGCAGTACAGGGCATACTTTCCTAGATCACAGTCTTTACTCCTTTTGTTTGCTCTCCCAGAGGCCACAACTTCCACAGAAGGCAGTGAAACTACCCATGGAGAAGTTCCAACAGGTGAGCCTTTATTTTGTGAAGTTGTGAGTTTCTTATTTGTAATATTATTAAATGTATTCAAAGACTTTATTCTTGATGTGTGTCTCTATTCAACCCCATTCTTCTCCCCACAGAAACAAAAGGAAGAGCAGATGAAGACAGCAGTGCATCTTTTGAGGAAAGCACATCTGAGGAAAGAGGTACTGAGGGTGTTTGGCAGAGGGACATCAAGCAGGAGACTCACATTTATTATGTTTGTGCTTCAATGACTTGTCAATCGGGCATCATGGAATACAATTCCTGAAAGTTGTATTGGTGATGCAGCCAAAATCTACTTCCATATGACTAAATTCAGCCAAGAGAACTATGACAACAGATGTCTTATGTAAATTTACCAAAGGAGCAATATGTTCCATAGAAACATCTCCACTGTCTTAAAACCACAAAGCCAGAGATATAAGTTTATTACTGAATAGAGAAAATTCAGGACTTTTTTTTTTCCTTTAGAGATGATACCCATGTCACAGTCTACCATCAGGGTGAAGATTTTGTTATGTTTGCTATGTAAGCTACTATAAGATAGGCTTCTCAGGAAATGCCTTCATTTATTTTGGTATAATCCCGGCAACTAAGCAGGGAGTAATACATATTTATTGAATAAATTAAATAGTTGGTATGTGAGAAAAAAAAACTTAACCCAGGAACAGAGGGGCTGATGAAAGCATGTGGTCAAAGAACTGCCAAACAGTTTCTAAAAGGCCCCTTCCAGAGCTGTGCAGTACAAAATCCTGAATGAGAGCACTTGCTGTATACCTTGGTTGTGTCAATGCAAAACATTCTCAGTATTGACTTCAAGCCTTCTCATTCCAGGTACCACTCATGCAGCTGTCAGTGTGACTAAGATATCTGGAAGTTCCAGTGCAGGTGAGCTAACCATTCTGTAAGAAGGGTGCATGGTGCTGCTTTGTGACAGTGTCACAAATTCCTTCCTAAATTTCTATCTTTCATCTGTTTCTCTCAGAAGCCACAACTTTCACAGGAGTCAGTGGAACTATGGTCATAGGAGAGAATGTGGGTGGGAATGAATGGAGGGTGTTTGCCTTTTAAGGGATGATAAATTACAATTAAATTTTGTTTCTTAGTAATAAGAAGTTCTCATTAAGGTCAACAGTGCCTTCATTTGTGACTAGGCTTTGGATCAATTTTGGCAGATTTTAGGAGGTGAGTCTCTGTAAACTAGAGTGGACTTGGCAATTATCTGGAAAATTTTCTTTTTCCATTTGTCTTTTCAGGAATCACTACATCAGCTGGAGGAAACACAGGTTCAGAGAGTTCCATTTCAGGTAAACAGAAGGCCAAAATGAATATAAAAAGTTACCTTAATATTAGTAGATTCTTCCTTGAGTAGAAACCAGATAATGTGCCATTTTTGGCCATTTTTTAGGACAGTGTTTCTCAACCTCTGGGTCATGACCCCTTTGGGGAGGAGGGTTGAATAACCTTTTTGACTTGACGACCTTTTTGACCATCTTTTCACAGGGGCCACATATCAGATATCCTGTATATCAGATATTTACATTAAGATTTATAACTAGCAAAATTACAGCTATGAAGTTGCAATGAAATAATTTTATGGTTGGGAGTCACCACAACATGAGGAAGTGTATTAAAGATACACTTAATAGTTAATAGTTGCAGCATTAGGAAGGTTGAGAACCACTGTCTTAGGATGATAATGGATCTTTATCTTGGTCACTACTCTTTCTTTTCCTTTTTATGTCAGATAACACAGGCCTCTGGCATGACTTTCCTCTGTATCTAGTGGTCCCAACATAGGGAAACCAATGACTTAACAGTAATGCAAGGAATCCCACAAACACATAGCAGACATTAGTAGTCACATGGTTCTGAATGTCTTCTTTGCTATTATTTGTCTGTTTAAAGGCAACAACTTAAGAGGCAGGACCTCAAGTGTTGGAGTCCACTAGATCGTCCCCAACAGCTAATTGCCTTCCCATTCATTTTAAATTGTCTGATAGAATGAATTTTGGGGAATTTTCCCCAGCCCACCTTTGAGTACAAATTGCCTGGGTGATCACACACTACTCCATGTGAACTGTCCTTTCTATGTTTAGAGAAAATGGCATAACAGGAATCATGAATCATCTGTTAATTGAAGCAAGAAAGTTAACTCAGGAAACCCATACATTTACCCTAAACCCAAATCCTAATTTTAGGATGGAGGGAGTCATAAACTATTCTCTCCTTCTGTGATTTCAGTCACCAGAGGAGTGACCACTGGTCTAACTGGAGTCCCTGGGAATTTCCACACTCATGAGTCATGATAATGTTTGGAGGATTTGTCTCTTAACTGCAGAGGCTGCTGCCTCTCCTAGGAATAGTGGGCAGTAGAGTCACAGGGCTTCATATTTCCCAAATGTTCACAACCTGAGCTCTGCCCCCCTCTGTGCAGGGGTTGTAGCTTCTGGAGAAGTTGGAGCGCATATATATATACATATATATATATATATATATATATATATATATAGGGTGGCTTATGACTTGGGGTCTATAGTAGATGAGAGAAAAATGGACAGAAACAGGGTTTGTTGCTTCCTTTGACAAAATACACATGATCTTTTTTGATGTGGCACTTTCATTTCATTTGATAAAATGTCAAGTGAACCAAGCATGACCCTCTTCCTTTTGGCCATTCCCTCCACATAGTAGTCTCTTAGACATGGGTTTTGTTGTTGTCGCAGTCCTAGCCATCTTGCTGTTAGGTGTTACTTCTGGTTCAGTTGGAATTCCCAGAGACCTGGAGAAATCCAGTTCTTGGGAGGAGAGATATTTAATTCAACCATCATCATGGATTTTTTTTCTCTTGACTATTCCCTAAATTTACCCCCTCAGGAGTCCCCACAGAAGCACCAGGCAGCCAAAGCACAGGAGGGAAAACAGGTAAATCACTTCCTCCTGAAACATTAGGCCATAGCAAAAGAATGAGCATTCGTAAATAAACAGGCTTTCTCTTTGGACACAAAGGCTCCTTTGTTGATGATAAACATGAATTTGTTCAACTCTGTCCTATTCTTAGGAATTGGGGGAACACTACTATGATTTCTCAGTCTGAAACTGGAGCACCAACAAATGAATGTTGTCTCTACCACCCTTCAGAGATCCCTGTGGCTTTGTTCCTAAGGGGCTAAGTTGAGGGTTTCTGGAAAAGGAAGTAGGTCAGAACGGGTTCAGGGAGAACAGGGAAACCTCCTTTCATTATACAACTTGCAAGTCCTTTGAGAAAAAAGGTTTTCAACTGATCCTTGGGAAGATGTAGCATGTAGCCTGAGAGCTCTATGTTGTTTTGACATAGGGTCTCACTGTGTACATTTTCTGGTCTCAGACTTCCTGTCTCTGCCTTCTAACCTCTAGGATTCCACAGCCTAACTCTGAGATTCCCAAGAAGAAGGTTATTGACAGTGCTGGTCCTGGAATAATCTATACTTTCTTCCTTTTGCAGATACTACTTCAATAGCAACTGAAGTTACAACCAGTGCCCACACACCCCAGCCAGGTAAAATAGAGAGATCCAATGGATTCAAATGAATCCTAGGAAATTTATCTCTTCCACATTGGGTCTACCTTGCATATGTATCTGCCATCACTGAGATGAACACACACAGACCTGATATGGATTCTTGCTATTGTGAGTAAAACATTGTATTATCATTCCCTCCTCTAGAAACCACTGCAAGAACAACAGAAGGTCAAACTACTGAAAATAAAACAGGTCAGTATGAGACACCCTCCAGTTGTTTCAGGGTCCAGCGGTGTTTCTTTTACTTAAAAAAAAATGTGCTAATGTGTGTAGTATATATTAAAAGTCAAACCTTCAGTAAGAAACAGTGATTGCCATGATGTAATCTCTGTAGTGGGGACAGAGGATATTATAGGTACAGGCATGATTGTTATTGTTCATTTATTGATCAATGAAAAATATATAAAAATTATGGTTCTGTGGAATAGGAGGTGAGTAGAGGGTTCCTCTCAGTCTTCCAGTTGGTAGTCATGAGTGAAGGCACAAGAATGAAGACAGTTGAATTTTATACTGGCTAGGTGGGCAGCAAATTTCTACCAAACATAAAAACAGAGACTTGAAGATGTGTATGTGTGAGTTCCCGACTCAGCCAGAAGCTGTCAATGCAAGTGTGAGGCTCAGGGAGGAAGATGAGGAAATACAGAAAAGTTTATGAAAGATTTTAGTTCCAAATTCAAATGTCAAATGTGACTCCATCCTTACAGCAAATGAGATCCCCTCAGTTTTATTGAGAGGATGGCCTGCTCAGAAGGCTAGAGGAAGTGACTCTGACAGCAGTGTGGAAATTAGATTATTGTGTTACATATATCCATCATTTTTCTACTGTTATCAAAAATTAGGAGCTATCCCAGATTGCCTTAACAAAGAGTTGGAGATATTTTATCTCCCAAATTTTCACATATTTTACTACTTTATTATCAAGTTTTGATAACAGTTGTTAGAATTGCTTCAAGTAAATATGTAGAAATTGAAAGTTTCTTTTAAGAATGGCCATCCTAGCCAGTTTGTGTTTCTTTGATTTTGGTAGGGTAGGGATAACAGTACAAATTTGACTTTCAGCAATTTTGAATTAGAATTTGAATTTAGAATCTTGTAAATATGGCTGGCCCCTATCTGAGAAATACAGAAACTTAAAGGTATACATGTATATTATCTGCTTAAAGCATTTGAGAGGATGGAGTAAAAGCATTTCATGGGGTTGAAAAAAGGATAAATGTTCTTAAAGTCAAAACTATGTTACTATAATTATATTCCTGTGTAGCAAAATCATCCCTTACTGTTTCACTGGCCTATTCATCAGAACTGTTTTCCAAGAAAATTTTCAAGAGAAAGTTATCTTTATTTCTACTCTCAATACAGATTTATGTGGCATTAAATTTTGAGGTCTAAAAGAAACACCCTACAATAGTAGGGTATCAAATGCTCTGAACAGAACAGAAGGGAGATGGGTGGTATATTTGTAAGCCTGACTGTATAGCCAATTATCAGGTAAATGAATTTTCCCCAACACCATGATAGCATTCCAAAAATTCTAGAGCCTAACAGATTTTCTGTTTTTACACAGTGTGTTCAGGCCCACCTCCACCAGCCCCAGGTGAGTGCACCCCCAGTGCAATGGAATTCCATGGTGATGGTTCTTCTTGTAAATCAGGTATCTGAAGTCCAGTACATGGATGGGAATGAATGCTATAAAATAAACTCAGTACACGAATCTGACTTTTACTTGCCAAATAATGTATAGGTTATTTTCTCCTTCACAAACAAATGTGGCCAGGCAATACATGCTAATTTGCCTGCTAGCTCTTTCATGAAATTATGTATCCTGGTAAGAGGTAGTTAATGTTACTGCTCTCATAACAGTGGGCATTTAACGAACTACATAATACAACTTTGGGGGTTTTGTTCTAGCTGAAAATTGCAAGTGTGCATGAGTTTAATAATTTCTGAGAACTTTATTGAGTTCCCACTATTTACAAGATAATGTAATGCATTTTTGCAGTGAGCATTTAACAAAGAAAGTAATTTTGACCTCATTTAGTGGGGAAATGAAAATTCTAAAACAACAGTTTTCATAGAAGGCAGACAATAAAGTTTACAATAGGAAGTAAATAGATGTCCTGTGGAGAATGCAGGTTTTAGAATTGAAATTTGAAAGCAATAAGTCGACTATTCTAGAGCCAGTAAACGAGAGGACTTAGTTGATTAAAGAGGTGGCTTTAATATGGGAGACCTTGGAGACTGGAATACAGTATTCATTTTAAAAACCTAACATTTAAAATAAAAGCAATTAGATAATTAGGCATTAGGGAAATTGCTGTAGCTGTGGTGCAGAGAACTGATTGGATCAGAAAGGAATCTATGCAGTTGAGCTGCTGGGTTGATGACAATGAGGAGGATTAGCCAAGAACAAAGAAAGGAAAGGCTTAAAGTGAGAGCCACAGAAACAAACTGCAATTCGTGCGCATGGTTCCTAAGTCCCATGTTTTAATAATTGGAAGAGTACTTTAACTTGGAAGAGAAAATAGTGCTTGGGGTGAGAAGACACAGTCTGTTTTGTGCATTTGTGTTGGAGGTTATTGAAGATTTGTTGGGACACTGTATAGTCAAAGTGCTAGAGCTAGGGTTGGGAATTTAGCTCAGTGGTAGAACGCTTGCCTAGCAAGCACAAGGCCCTGGGTTCAGTCCTCAGTTGTGGAAAAAAAGACAAAATAACATAGAAGTAGAGCTGTGCCCATGGCTTAAAAGTGTCCACGGACTCAAAGAAGTTAGAATGGAAGGAGAACCTTCCATTTCGTGTACATCATGGGGAAAAGATTCCTTTGAAAAGACAAGAGACAAAATTAAGAGGAGTGGAGAAGAGCTGCTCCTAGTATGGATGGGGTTTCCTGAATGTTAAATTTAAAGAAAGGAGAACATTTTCTTGAATGTGGAAGTTTATGTCGCCTATGACAGGGAAATTAAGTGATTAAAGAAATTTGGATCTTTGGATTTGCCAGTAATAATGTCTTGGTACTTACTGAATGTAGAGATAGAAACCAGTTTTATAAGATAGTGAGCTAGATAGTTCACACACACACACACACACACACACACACACACACACACACTATACACACATATTATACAAAACACTTGACTGGAAGCAGGTGGTGTCATTTATCCTCCTTCAGGCACAATGTCTCCACAAAAATGACCTTTGGGATCCTGGTGTCAATTACCATATGGGCCCCCTGCTGATTATCTATAAATGGCAAGTGGTCATAATTTGCAATATTCAATGAGCATTTATCACTTTCTGTTAACAGCATGTCATGGTCCACTGGGAGAAGAGAAATCTGTAAGTATAAAGGTCTACTTTAACCTAAATTTTCTTTCTGGCTCTTTGTGGGAAAATGTCTAAACATGGTTTGTATCTGTAGCCTGGAGACGTCTGGACATCTAATTGCCACCAATGTACCTGTACTGAAGCAAGAGCTGTGGACTGCAAACCTAAAGAGTGTCCTTCTCCACCCACCTGCAAAACTGGAGAGAAGCTTATGACATTCAAATCAAATGATTCCTGCTGTGAAATCAGCCACTGTGGTATGTACCTGTCATGCCTGTTGATACATTCAAGGGATGTTTTTGAGGTAATATGTCACACATGACATTAAGATCTGGTAAATATAACAGATATAGTACTTGTTAAAATTTATCATTGTTGTATTGAAGAAAAATCCAGAATTAAGAGATAGTAACAACATGAATAGGTTAAAAGGCAATTATACTATTTTAAGGAAAGCATAATTGGTTGATAAGTATGCTCTCACATGCAAATTCTCCTCCATAATTTTTTTTTTTTTTATTTTTTGAGACAGGGTTTCTCTGTGTAGCTTTGTAAACCAGGCTGGTCTCAGAACTTACAGAGATCTGCCTGTCTCTGCCTCCAGAGTGCTGGGATTAAAGGTATGTGCCACCACCACCCCGCTTCTCCTTCATAAATATTAAAGAGGTATATTACATTTATTTTTCAGAACCAAGAACGTGTTTATATAACGATACTGATTATGAGGTAAGCCTTTTTCTTCTCTCTTTTATTAATGTAATCATATGAATAAATGCAATGCTAAGCCACACCTGAGGGTTTTCAGTGTATAATTTTTAAAAAATGGTTTTAAAAATACTTTGGTAAAGACATTAGTCACATAAAACATAATACTGGCAGTGCTCCTTCCTAAGGAAGCAGTCCTCTCTCTCAATCATTAACCAGCCAGCAGTCAATCTCAGAATGCAAGTTCCCCAGGGTCCCACCAGATGGAGAAGACATACTGTGCAACATTCAAGTTAATGAACAGAGTTCAGCTGTAATTACAGCCAGAAAGATCAGATGGCCAAACTGCCAGCCATCAAACAAGAAAACTCAAGGGCTCCACCCACTTGGGGGATTAGCCTGTGCAGGGCTGGGTCTGGACTGCTGAGCTCACATTTGAGGCAAGGCTTAACTTTCTAGAAAATGCTTTGTGAAACCACAGATGTCAGATGATTCTCAAACTGGTATTAACACTATCAACTGGTGTTGGTAAATACTTAAAACTCAAACTAAGTAAATGAGGCATGTGAAGAAAAAATGTAACAAGATGCATGTAAAATATACCTCACTCACATTTCCATCTTATCTTCTCAACTTTCCATTTCCAAAATTTTTGTGACTCTAGAAACCACAAAATCTAATTGCTCAAGACAAAAAAAAAAGGAAATTCCAATAATTTGCATATAAAGAGTTGAAATCATAAAATTCCTGTTTAATAGAAAATTTATCTTATGGTCTAGTGCCTTAAAACAGTAGTTCTCAACCTGTAGGTCACGATCTCTTTTAACAGGGGTTGCATATCAGATATCCTGCATATCAGATATTTACATTATAATTCATAATAGTAGCAAAATTACAGTTATGAAGTAGCAATGAAATAACTTTACAGTTGGGGGGATCACTACACACGAGGAGCTGTATTAAGGCTGATGCTATGTCCTAAATTAAAAGTTGTTTCTCAGACTGTGGTTTGAACATTGGACAGAAATTAATTACAAAACTGTCCAAAGAGCTTTAACAAAGATAGACGTAAGGTATCTTGGGAGGATGGCCATTAACTCTAAAGATTTATTTATTTTTATTTTAGTGTATAAGTGTTTTATGTTATATGTATAAATGTATATGTTTAAATATAAGTTTTATATTTATAAGTCTGCATGTATGAGTGTGTACCACATGGGTTCTTGGTGCCCTCAGAAGGCAGAAGAGGGCACTGGAACCCCTGGAACTGATGTATAGATGGTGAGTCACCATTTGGGTACTGAGAGCCAAATCCTGGTCCCCCGGAAGAGCAGCAGGGACTCAACCACTGAGACATCTCTGCAGCCCTATAAGTCCTCATTTAAACTTTTATCTAATTATTAGTGCGTGTGAATGCAGCATGGCACATGTGTGAAGGCCAAGGGCATCTTTTAGGTATCAGTTCTCTCTACAGTTGATTCCTATGGTCCAACTCAAGCTTGCAGCAAGTGCTTTACCTACTAAGATGTCTTACAGACCCATGAGTCTTAATTCCATGAACTTCTTTTGTATCATTTTGTCAATGTAGATGTTCTATTTTCCTTGAAACATAGAGCAAAATTGATGAATTTCTTGCTTACCATAAAATATCCATTCTTGAAAAATATTCTTAAACATATAACACAGTGACTATCAAAAGTTTTATTTTGAATATTGGGCATCTTGATGCACTCTATGTCCCCAATGGAGAATTTTGATTTATTCACTGAAGTTGAAGAGCCTTCTTTCCTTAACTGCTAACAATTGAAAGTGCCTCTTTACAGACACTAAAATAAGAGATGTCATCCTTTTTGCCAGTTTTAATTGGTAAGTTAAATTATATTCAAAAGGACATAACTTCTCTCCTCCCCTATGCCCTTGCAGATTGGTGCATCCTTTGATGACCCTAGCAACCCATGTGTCTCCTACACCTGTAACAGCACTGGCTTGGTGGCCGTGGTTCAGGACTGCCCAAAGCAAACCTGGTGCACAGAAGTAAGTCATGGTCTAACAAAGGCAAGCAAGGTCACCACTCAAGTTCGACTCAGACCCTTCTCATCTTTCTGCTCCTTCCGGAAAATAGGTCTTTGGCCAAGAGATACAAATCTGTCATCAGTTCCATGGATGTTCACACAAATTCATGTACCAAGAGCCAGATGGTTCTAGAAATACCAGCTTTTATTGAGTATATTCCTCATACCGAAGAACAGGTTTTTATTTTTTCCAGCTCCATAAAACTTAATTTAGTACTATTCTAAAAGTAGGTTATTATAAAACTATTAGCTATTTATTTTTAATATTATGGGAGAGTTTCTTTATTAAAGTAGCAATGTCATTCTAATGCCCGTTGCACACATTTTACGATATTATTCATTACAATTGTTTTTTTTCCAATTTTCTATTTCATTTTGCATTCCAACCACAGTTCTTCCTCCCACCTCTCCTCTTACCACTCTTTGTCTCCTCCCACAACCTCCTCACCTCCCTGTATGTTTGTTTATTTTAACTTATGTGTGTGAGTGTTTTACCTGCATGTGTATATGGGTACTATGTTCATGCCTGGTACCCTCAGAGGTCAAAAGAGGGTATTGGTTCATTAGAAATGGAGTATGGATAGTCGTGGGTTCTAGAAACTAAATCTGGGTCCTTTGTAAGAATTATAAATTCTCTGTCTCTGTCTCTCTCTTTCTCTCTGTGTGTATAAATTTGACTACATGAATTTATCTATATATATGTATAATAATTAGAGAATAAGAGGTCATGGATTCAAAAGGGAGCTGAGGTGGGGGCATGGAAAGTATTTGATAATGCAATTAGATTTTAATAAATTTTAATTTTTTCTTAGAACAACAACAACAAATAAAGCAACAACCACTCTAACCTATTGAGCCAAATCCCCCTGTATTATTTTATAGACAAAATTAAAAACCATCTTTTTATATGAAAGCTCATGGTTAATTACTTCCTATAATAATTCAAATTCTGTAAAATGACATGTATCTATACTATCTATATCTTTGTGTGACAACCATCATTTCTTTGCCTTCATATTTTGGTTTCTGTTACTGTAATGAATACCATGATAAAAAACAACTTGGAGAGGAAAGGATGTATTCATTTTGCAGTTCTCATGTCACATGTCATTAGGGAAGTCAGAGCAGAAACCTGGAGACAGGAACTGATGCAGACGCCTTGGAGGAGGGCTGCTTACTAGCTTGCTCTCCATGGTTTCCCCAGGCTGCTTTTTTATAGAACCCAGGAAAGCCAGCCCAGGGTTGGCACTGACTACAGTGAGTTGTCACTTCTATATTAACAATTAATCAAGAAAAATGACCCATAAGCTTTCCTACTGGCCAATCTAGTTGGAACATTTTTTAAAATGAGGTTCTCTCTCCTCAACTGGTTCTAACTGGGGCCAACAATACTCACTATATGTTGGTTTTTATATTAGTATATGCTTGATATTGCATTACCACTTTCCTTTCCAAATCTGTAATTTATAGCATATTTTAAAGCATCATTTTAGAATTCTAATATTGTATTTCAATAGTTTATTTGGATGTCATCTTAAGAGTAAGGAAGATTTGAATTTGAAACAAAGTTTAAGTGCAGATCTTGGGTAAAAGAAGCTGACAGCATCTGGTATTGTGTTAAAGGATTTTTCCTTTGAAGTAAGCGAAGCATAATTTGTTTTCATATTTGCATATTCTTTTTCCTTCTCTTCCTGCCATTGCAAAACCTTAGTCTTAAACATTCAATCTCGTGTTTATTACCAAGTTCAACTCCTTCTGCACTTGCCTAGCCCCAGAATTGACATCAGCATGCTCATCTCCTTCCATGTCCCCTTCCTGTTGCTACTTTAGTATATTAAGAAATGTTGTATTTCATTCAGTATTAAATATTTCAATTTTTCCTACAGGGAGAGAGAACATATGATTCAAAGAAATGTTGCTATACGTGTAAGTAAACCTTTAAAAATAGAAAGTATCTAAATATTTGGAAAAGTAGCATTTCATTAAGACAGAATGACAGATCATTAATAGAAGGTTTGCCAGTTGTGTTAAAAAACAGAAACCTGGGTTGTAATATATGCTGCCAACTGATACACTTGTAAAGAGTATTATAGTTATTTGTAGATAGTAGTAGCTTTTCTTTTTAAAATATGAGCAGTTATGTTTACAAGTGAATCTCTCTTGTTTCCTATGAAAAAAAAAAAAAGACTACGTTTCTGTCCTAATACCAGTGGTTTGTGTTATAAATCTGTGTACTAGAATACAGAGGTATGTGATGGGCAATGAGAAAATGCTCTTCAGCAATGTCCCATCATCTTCTCTGCTCTGACTGGCCCCTCTCTCTTTCTTCTACTTATTACTTCCTTCCCTCTTAACCTGCAATAGAATCATAACAGCAATCAGACAATATCTATACAAGTTTTAACCAGGTGCCTTTCACAGCCTGGGTTGAGATAGTTATTTCCCTTAATAACATGGCGAAGTAGTTGATGCACCCCTCCCCTTTGGTTAAGATAATGTATGCCTAATAATAGCTAAGATGTCAAATCTCACTCTCTTGTCTGTTATGCACTTTGCTTTAGGTAAAAGTGACTGCAGAACTTCACCTGTGAATGTGACCATTAGATATAATGGCTGTAGGAAGAAAGTTGAGATGGCAAGATGTGTAGGAGAATGCAAAAGGACCCTCAAGTAAGTTTCCCTGTGAATGTGTTCTGTGCATTAACTTGGTGCTTATAGAGAAAATCAAGCAATATCATGTAGGAGAGTTTGACATGAAAGAACTGTCTGATTAGGATGTTAATGGAAAAATAAATAAAACACTATGATCTGAGGACTAAAATCATCACTTTGGCAATCAGTTATTCTGAGGTCATTTTCTAAACATGCTTAAACGTATTTGTAATAAATACATTCATTTTCCTGTAGAGATTGTAGAGGGTCATTACTCAAGGAAGCACATTACCCAAATCATTTTAAAGCTGAATTTTAGAATGGCATTATATGTTTTCCTTAATATACCACTTTACATATAGATTAATTTAGTGAGAATAATTATAGTTTGATATTGTTTTCAATCCATTATTTACATTTTTTGCACCACATTATTCAGTGACAGCTCTTTTTTTTTAGTCTCATTTTGTCTTTAATGCCGATTATCACCAGTCTACATCAGGGTTTTGTAGCTGGAAGGGATACAAGATCTAGAAAAAGATCACATTACGTAAAGGCTAGTAAACCATTTAAGAAAGTCATTGGAACCTAAGGTCTAGTTATGTGATGCTTGCAACTATTTCGAAATATTTATTACTGATTTCACTTCCCTTAGGTACAATTATGAGACCTTCCAATTGGAGAATTCATGTATTTGCTGCCGTGAAGAAAACTATGAATACAGGGACATTGAGCTCGATTGTTCTGATGGCAGCACCATCCCATACAGATACAGGCACACTACAACCTGCTCTTGTCTGGACCAGTGTGAACAGTCTACAGCCAGTTAATGCCTGCATTGCCTTTCTGGTTGCCCTTTTTTAGACAGGAAGAAAAATAAATAGTGTGGATGGATAAATCTGAGTATGTCTTATTTAGAAAATGAGGCCCACAATGATTCATTCCATTCTGTTGTTGACAGTGCCAGAAAATAAATGCACTGGTGCAAGTATTTAGTGAGGACCTGGATTTTTTTTTTACACAGTATGAATTCTGCAAATTACAGAGAGCACAAGCCAGTGATGACTCCCAGTGCCCTGGGGCCACTGGTCTGTTCCATTCCCTCCCTCCTCTCACTATTTAACGACAATGTGCTCTTCATCCTTTTCCATTTGCCTGTCTCAGCTGCACCACACTTTACTGTGCCACATCCCCCTCTCCTGCAACACCTTGACTTCTTCTTAGTTGTCAAGATTTTCATATCATTTCTACTCTGGCTTCTCTGAAGCATTTTTCTAGTTATTCCCACAATATTTGAAATCCACCATCCAGGCTTTGTGGATAACCTTGCTTTGTGGACTCCAACTTTTGTAACTGCACAGTGTTCCTCTTTTCATTTTGTGCAGGTGTTTTGACACTCTGTATCAACATAGGCACACACACCAAGGGATTTCTATCTTACTCCAAACACATTGACATCACTGTGTTCTAGAGGTTACAGCTTGTTATCTCCAAGTCACTAATGCTGAACTATGGGAAACTGAGGTAACAAACTCAGAAGATATGAAAGTTTACTCCTGACTGATGCACAAGGGTGGGTAGGTGTGACTAAGCCTAGCATCCTCCTCCTCATGTTTTTGTTCTATCATTGAAAATACATCTTCCACCTTCTACTTTGATGGTCACAAATGGTCACCTCTCTTCCATAATATTTCAATCTTTAGTCCAGCCAACAAAGAGGAATGGGAGATGGGGAGTGATTGGTGTTTGTTCTTTGGGAGCAAGCCCTAGAAGTTGTACACATTCTTCCATAAACATCTGATTGGACAAAATGCAGAGTCCAATGGATTCATAAATGATGGTTCTAAATGAAGGTATAATAATTACCTTCGTAAAACCATGTAATTAGGAACTTCCCCCAATGTACAGTTCAATACATGAGAAATCAATTAGTCAAATTAATAAGTGCAAAGCAAGTTCTAAGAGCTAGCTGGAACAATTGCAACTTGAGTTATCACTAAGCGAACTCATTCTGAGAGTGTTATGATGTATTACTATATATTCTTCCCCACATTTATTTCATACGTGTTGAGAATATGCCAGAAGATCATCTTCAGCTGTTATCAACCTTGGGGATTGTCTCATTGTTAGGTTCCTCCTTCTAGGGAAAAGTTGTTGATGGGTAGCAGTAAAAGGATCATCTCTAACCACAGCCAGAGTCCATGACCTCCCTGCAGGGCTGATGGATGCCTCCACTGAGAAATCACAGTGCCTTGATTTCTTCCTCCATGCAATAAAGTCAGTGCATAAAAATCTCCAATGCAGTGACTTCTCTAAGGGAACTTAATCTGTATTGCATATGCATCATTCTCTATAACTCTTCAAATGGCTGTGATATTGAAGTCTGAAGATTGAATGGGGAAGGATGCAGTCATTAGCTCACTTTTGTCCTTGCTAGTTTTTGATGATTGAAATGAGCTACACATTGAGCCCTTCCCTACTACAGTATCTTATCCAATTCCCCTTGCTTCCCTTAAACAATATACAGTTTTCTATACAGAGAGCACATTGTTTTAAGGGTCTTAAGTCACAAGATTACCTCATAACAAAAGTGAAGTTAATTAAAACTCAAAATATAGAGTCATGATTTGGGTGTGCACCAAATCTAGGTGTGTGTGTGTGTGTGTGTGTGTGTGTGTGTGTGTGTGTGTGTGTAAAATGGCCAAGACATTTTGGAAAATGAGGAATTTCCTCAAATTGTCAAACATGCCGTTAACACAGGATCTGATTTCACTCCTATATACTTCTTTCCAAATGTATGATTTACTAATGCTTTCTCCCATCTGTAGGTTGGTTCTTTGCTGTGCTGTTTTTTTTTTTTCCTTTACTGTTCTAAATTACTTTTTTTAAGATTACAATATAATGACATCATTCCCCCCTTACTTTTCCCCTTCCAAATAATCTCATGTAATTCTACTTGTGCTCTTTCAAATTCATGCCCTCTTTTTTGTGCTAATTGCTTTTGCATACACACACACACACACACACACACACACACACACACACAGTGTGTGTGTGCTCCTATGTATACAAATACAGTGTGTTCAGTCTGTATAATGTTACTTGACTGTATGTTTTCTGGACTCACCATCTAGTATTGGATATCCTAACTGGTGTACTCTGCCACGAAGGCTTTCTCCCACTCTCAGCATTTTTTAATTGCCTGTAGTTGTTTTGGTGAGGTTAAGGCCTTGTAATCTTTCCCCTGCCCACATTGTCATGCCTATCAGTGCTATCCTTGTTTAACTCTGGTGTAGACTATCCTGTTAGTGAGACATTATGGGATGCATCAGAGTTTTTATTGCTGTGAAGGGACACCATGACCACAACAACTTTTTTTTTTTTTTGCTTGGTTTTTTGAGACAGGGTTTCTTTGTATTACTTTGGAGCCTGTACTGGAACTCACTCTGTAGACCAGGCTGGCTGTGAACTCACAAAGATTCATGTGCCTCTGCCTCCCAAGTGCTGGGATTAAAGGCATATGCCACCAACACCTGGCTTAACCACAGCAACTCTTACAAAGAAAACATATAATTGAGGTGATGGCTTACAGTTTCAGAGGTTCAATCCATTATCATCAAAATGGGGGGCATGGCAGCCTACAGGCAGACATGATGCTGGCTATACCTTGACCAGAAAGAAGGCAGCAGTAAATTGACTGTCACACTGAGTGAAGCTTAGAAAAAAACCTCAAAGCCCACTCGACAGTAACACACTTCCTTCAACAAGACCTTACCTCCTAATAGTGCCACTCTCTTTGGGGGCCATTTTCTTTCAAACCACCACATGTGTGTAGCTTCTGACCTTACTAGGGGACACAATCTCACAGCCAACTCCTTGTTTCTCTAGCTCTTACAATCTTTCCACCTCCTCTTTTGGAATGGTCACTGCAATGAGCTTTATGTTCAGGAGTTGTGCTGTAGATGTTAGCAGTTAAGGTTAGGTTCTACAACTCTACATTTTGGTTGTGGTTTTCTGTCATGGTCTCCACCTGCTGCAGAGAGTAATTTCTTTGCTGATGGGAGAGGACTGCACTTAGCTATAGATATAAGGACAGATATTTCTAATGTAGTTAGGGATTATGCTTGTTTAGTAATACAGTGATTCTCCAGGATCCATGGGTTCACTAGCTTTGGGTAGTTGGCTAGATTTCCAGTACCAGACATATTTTCCCTCTTGTTGAGTAGGTCCTTTAGAGAGCTATGAGTTCCATAATTGTACCCTTCGGATTATCATGCTAGAAGCACCTTTCATTACTATGAAAGTTTGTTGTCAGGCATTCAGGTCAGTTCCAGTGTAGGGGCCCTGGGCCCTGTGTCCAAAGTTGTTTTTGGCAACAGGGATTTATCTATCACTTGGGTGGGGACAACAAAGGGCAATAGCAATAACTTAAAATGTCTTGGAAGTATCTTGAACAACTCTGACCAACAACCCAAAAGAGAGAATTCTCATGTGTAATTTGGGAGAGTTTGTCAGAAGTCTTTGGCTCTTAGAGGGAGTATCATCCATCCAGTGGAAAGTTCATTTAAACTAGATATGTATATTTATACAATGACTTATATGCACCATAGGTGTCCCCAGGTAGACAGTTAATAGTTAATAGGATTATTCCCTATGGCTTTTTCGGATACCCTTACTGTTATTTTTCTTCCCCTTCTCTAATTAGAAATGTGTTTCCCATTTCCCCTTTCAGGTCACTGTACCCTACTCTTAAAAGCTTTTCAAGTCAAAATAATCTCACTATTTTGACTATTTTTGCTGGTTTTGATTTTTTGTCAAAAAGGTCTTACCATTTTGACAAAGATGATATCAAGTACCTATGTGCTTTATTAGTTTTTACTAACTCCTCTTCTGTTGTTCTGATAAAATATACTGACAAAGCCAACTTAAAAAAAGTTATAGCTGTCATAACTAGTTTTATGTCAACTTGCCCCAAACTGGACTCATCTGAAAGGAGGGAACTTCAATTGAAAAAATGACCCCATAAGATCCTGCTGTGGGACATTTCTTAATTAGTGACTGGTGAGGGAGTCCCAGCTCTTTGTGGGTAGGTTCATTCCTGGGCTGGTGGTCCTGGGTTCTACAAGAAGGCAGGATGAGGAAGCCAAGTATGCAGTACCCCTCTGTGGCCTCTGCATCAGCTCCTGCCTCCAGGTTTTGGCCCTGTTTGAGTTCCTGTCCTGACTTCCTAAAGTGATAGACTACAATGTGAAAGTGTAAGCCAAATAAAACTTTTCCTCCCCAACTTGCTTTGGTCATAGTGTTTTATCACAGCAATAGGAACCCCATCTATGACAACAGATCAAAGTTCTAGGGACTACAGTCTACCACAGTTGGAGAGCTTTGGCAGCAGAAGTCACATTGTGCCCACAGTCAGGAAGCAGAGAATGGTGAATGACTAGGCTCATGAATCTTAATCCATGGGATGGCACTACCTGTAATGACTGAGTATTCATTACTTAGTAATGAATGTAGTCAATATAATTGTCCACAGGCAAGTGGAGAGGCTCCATCTCCCAGGTGGTACTGGACCTCATCAAGTTAACACTTGAGCTTAACTGTCATGTACACTCTGGGGTAATACAAGCCCAATAAAAACAGAACTGTACAAGGCAGGCCCAAGGCTCCTACTGCTCTTTCCTGCCTATTGGTTGGGGAATTTATAGGCTAAGACTGTTGCAACCAGCTACAGGTGATGTTGAACCAGAATGTAAATCTGATGTACTGAGGCCGTATTTCTTCACCTGAAATCCAGAGGCTTTATCTATGAGTGGGCCTGGGAATGGTAGAT